GTTTTTTAAGCATGATGAGCACGGGGAGCCCTGCCCCAGGTGCTTCTAGCTCAGAAGATCTAAAACCCTGGTTCCATGAACCTGCAAAACCGATAGAGCCCTTGCTCTTTTAACCTTATGTTTTCATTTTAATTTTAATCAACTCTTAAATAGACTTGCCCTCCCCCCTGCCAGCACCTACAGCATTCTATTTGAATTTCATGTTTTATATTTAATTATAACACTTAGGCTTTGCTATATGTTAATTCCGGCCATATGTTAAGCAGTATGTTTTGTTTTATGAAAAGAGGGAGCTTTATTCAGTTTGTTAAATTAGCTGACCTGTTAGGAGTATTTTCTCTGACAGTGCAGGATAATGCCCTCCCCCTGCCAGCACCTAATGGGGTCTTTACAGTAGACCTGCTCTCCCCCTGCCAGCACCTAATGGGGTCTTTACAGTAGACCTGCTCTCCCCCTGCCAGCACCTAATGGAGTCTTTACAGTAGACCTTCTCTCCCCCTGCCAGCACCTAATGGGGTCTTTACAGTAGACCTGCTCTCCCCCTGCCAGCACCTAATGGGGTCTTTACAGTAGACTGCCTGGTACCCTGCCTTGTTGCAGCTGTCACTGCAGCTGCTGTTCTGTGTGCTGTTTCCAGAACATCTCCAGACCCCAATGGACAGGAATATGGGAGCCCCGATTTCAAACAGAACCTCTTTTTTTGGACCAAACTGGTACGGTGCAGTTGGTGTCCCTCAGTTTTAAAACACAGCTTGGAATGGCGGCTGAACAGAGTTAAACGCCGCCAAGGCGAATGCTGCAGTGAGTTCGACTGCCATACCAAACGTGCCACAGAAATATCGGTGCACAACTCGCACAGTTAACAGCTGCGCCAATGAAAGAACGAGAGCACTGGCTGTTGTGTAGTATGATTAGTTTTAGTCCTGATTTAAGGATGGTTTTCAAACCTGTCTCGGCTGATTGAAAACAGCGCACAAATTTGGCCTCTGAAGCTCCCTTCTCCGAGCTTCACTGTAGTGTTAAGGCAGGTCTTCCTTCTGCCGGTCCTGAGGACTTGCACACCAGCTGAGCACACAACAGAACTTTTAATAGACCTCACAGTAGGATTCATCTGAAGCTTTTAATGGTTTTCAGTTCCTACGCAGGAAAGAACTACAGCCTTTGAACTACAGCGTTTCTTAAATAACTTGAAATACTCCGCCTCCGCGGACGGAAACAACCTGGGGGAGGTCCCAGCCCGTGAGATGTAGGGTGAAGGATTGACACGAGTAAAGAGCCGAGCTGCGGGCCTGAGAGCTAAGGTGTTTGTCTGTGCCAGGAGGAAAGAGCAAGTCTGTGGAGCTGGAGGATGTGAAGTTCCACCAGTGCGTGCGGCTGTCCCG